GTTGCTCTGCCGGTTACCTACCCAACCTTGACCTTAGATTATGAAGTTTTCAAATAGGAAAAAGAAAGGTTTCAAAAGTAGCTACCATGAAGATTAATTACTCTCATTTGTAAATTTGTCCTCAAAGACGATCCTTATAAGCTACATAACGTTATTTATCAGGTTGAGTGGAATTGTTTTGGAGTAAGTATACACTAAGTATACTGTACTTAGGACTTAAGATTTTGATGTCTTTTTAGGTTCCCTAGAGATAAAAGAATGTATATATACAAATACGTATTACATATATTATGCATAATTATATGCATTTGGAGAGTAGTGGTGAATTAATACATTTTATTGGGACTATCTAATGTGTCATTACTACCACTTGCAGAAAATAAAATTAACTAACAATTCATATTTATGAAGTTTTCTCAGAGAAGTAGGAGGATTCGAGGGAGAAAATGACGCTTAAGGAGGTTGGATCCTGCCATCAAAAGTAATGAGAATTTTTTATCAAGTATATTTTTAGAATTTATACACATAGCTTAATTAAAAATCAAAACCAAAAATGGGGGTCAATGCGCGTCTTTTGGCGCTACAGAGCATATAGTTTGACCTTTTTGCACTGTAAATATGTCTTACACATAAATCAATTTTTAAAGTTTTTCCTCCAATATTTTTTATTCAAATAAATTATGGGAACAAACACAGTCTTATTTCATCTAGAAAAGACACATTAAAATTTGTGACAACGAAATTTTTTTTTCAACTTACTCCGCATGTTCAATTATTTGACCTTTTTGCACTCAAAAAATTTCATTTTTCTGGCATTAAAAATATAACAAGCAAAAATATCATTTGAAAGTAATGACATTTTACTGAATTTAAGAAAAATGGTTAAAAGTATCTTATATACTCAGAAAATAAAATAAAAAGTGGGGGTCTGTGATGTTAATTTTTAGATATTACTAAAATAGTGCTAATTTTAAGCTTAAAATAGGGATATTTTTTTTCTTGATTTTCACAATATATTTGCTATATTTATCATATATGATGATAGAATTCATGACAGTTTATTTAATATATAATTTAGGACCAGTATAAAACAGTTCACTGCACAAAGTAACTCTGTGTGCAGACTGCATGTAAAAATAGGAATCCAAACTTAACATACTTTAAATACTTCGAAAGAGAAAAAATGATCATTTTCTTCTAAAAAACATTCCGCCACAAAATATAGTTCCTCACTTAATGCTTTTGGTATGGAATTTAATAATGGAGTTTTAACTGAATATAGTTTAATTAACATTGTAGAATCCCAAATTATTGTAAGAATTAAAACTTTACGCAGAATTTTTGAAATATAGGTTAAGATATAAATCTGCTCGAAAGCTCAGGAGCGAACCTCGTTAATACAGAAATAAATGACTCAGTACACATTTACCCATTGCTGTATTGCTGATAATTGGGAGCTGGTTAAAAAAGGAAGACACTTTAGATATCTTTTGGGCTTCATGTTCACTACCCCTCTGGTCATTCATCTAAAATGTTTGTTTTGATGCTTATGATTTTCCAAAAGAAATCTGTTTAATATCTAAAATTCAAACAATTTCAAAATTTGACAGAAATTGCCTTTTACGTTGACAATATTATAGGGAAATAATAGTCATTTATCCAAAAAAAGAGTTGTACTGTCTTATCAGAGGGTCAATGAACCTTAAAGTAAAAATTTCAGAAAATTGACAAATTTTGACTTAAATCTAAGACTGCTTCATGATACCGGGCTCTGGAAACCATTTTATGTAAAATATGAACTTCTGATCTGGAGGTTAAAACTTCTGGCCTCAAAATTTATATGGACCTTCCTTAAGTCATGGGAAATTATGATAGAAAATTACATAGCAAAACCTCAGAGAGAACGGAAGTTATATGATCTGGTAACCATATTTAGGGAATTAGGATATAAAATGTCTTTGCAAAATCTTAGAAACTTTTTTAGATGTCTGAAAACGAAAGTGTTACAGACAGAATGACAGACAAACCCACATTATTTTCTCATATTTTAGCAATTTTAAAATGCGACCGACAATAACCTGATTTGATATGACATACATGTGGATTTGCACAATGCTTAGCGGTGTCCGCTAAGTTCCAACATAAGTATCATTTGCTTTGAAGATATGTATTTGTTAATAAATGTCCAAATACACATGATAAAGATGAAATAAAATACACAGATCTATACAGATTACATGGTAAAACGAACAGAATGTTGCAAACAACTATGGGCAGCTAAATTGTGATCCACAATTCGATGGGAAGTTGAATTATAAACACTACTGTAGCAATTTTTCTAACGTACCAAACACTTTGAGATAAAGTTGAACATTAACAACAAACAACAATGAAAGCACACATATTGTACATGTACATAAATTGACCTTTTTAAACATTTAGCACAATCACTGGGTATGAAGTTTTTGCGTAATCATGAATTAGAGTTACACATGTCCGTGTCGTGTATTGAAATTATAAATGAATTCTTAGCGGTATTCACGGATTAGCGCATCGTTTTCCGCGCCAAAGCCGCTAAAATATGAAGCCTGCTATAATAAGCACACATACAGTAATACTGTTGAATTTAAAAGATTAACAACTTTTATCAAACCATGAACATTGCAATAAAAGGGGAATTAAGTACTAATCTGAATAAATGTAATCAATTACCATATAGTTATATCCGTAGAAATACTCATTTTGTGGAAAGAGGAGGACATTTAACATTGTTAACAAATTCAAATCATTTGAATGAATGGGCTTTAAATTCGCGGTTTATGAACAAAAAGAAACATGACAAAAATGATTATCTCTCTCCAGATGGCGGATTTTTTTGTGTTTGGGGTGACAAACAAGAACATTTTAATGTTTATTTGAGGACGGATGAGTTACGAGAATTGACGTTTTGTCACGCTGGGCTTTTTGTTCTACGGTCGAACTCTTTAAATGTTCACACAGTATGGGACTTATCAAAACAAGTTTAATTTAACACAGACCACAAAGCTCAAATTTTTTGGCACTCTTCTTTTTCTTCTTTAAAGCTTTCCTGGGTGTTTTTCAAGTCCAGAATCCTTATAAAAATCTTTATCAAAATTAAAAAGCAAAATAAAATCGTAATATCACGAGGTTGAGGTATTGGTCGTAAAGAAGCTTTTTATAGAGCAGTTCTGCCATTGAGTGAGTTCTTCTCTTAAACAATATATCCTTGTTAAGGGTTTTGGCAAATCCTCTTGTCCATGTCACTTAAATTATAGCAGTGAGTTATACCTATAATAGTGAAATATACCTATAGCAGTGAGATATACCTATAGCAGTGAGATATACCTATAGCAATGAGATATACAATATACCGGTACCTGTAACAATGAAATATGCCCATAACATTGAGATAAGTCTATAGGATATAGTGAGATATACCATTAGCAATGACATACATATATAGCAATGAGAAAAAATCAATAGCAGCAAGATATGCCATTAGCAATGACATATATATATAGCAGTGAGATATATACCTATAGCAGTGAAATATACCTAGAGCAGTGAGATATACCTAGAGCAGTGAAATATACCTAGAGCAGTGAGATATACCTAGAGCAGTGAAATATACCTAGAGCAGTGAGATATACTTATATTAGTGAGATATAACTAGAACGATGAGATAAATATAGAACAGTGAGATATACATATTGCAGTGAGATGTGCACATAGCAGTGAGATTTATCCGTCCATAAGTTTAATGATTTTCAAATTTAAAGTTAAAAATTTCACGTTTAAAAACAAATACCATAAAAGACAAAAAGAAAGAATCACACAAACATTCAGAGCCATCATGTAATGTTCTAATGCCATTTTTACAGATCAAGGTGTGATTAATATAAAACTCAGAGTTTTAACTGTTGATGTCCCTGCCCATCTTTATGATGCTCATTCGTTTATGATTTCCTTATCTATAGAAAGACAAACGATTTGGTACATACTTTAAATCACTATTAGGTTTGCAGGTGCTTTTTTATGATAGACCTTCTTTAGAATTGTTTTTCAGTCACGTTTATAGTAAGAAAACGTAGAACAGCTCCGGTGCACCCTTTAAATCTAAATGTGTACTTTGATCAGGTTACACAACATTTTTAAAAATCAGTGGTGTCTAAAATACACCGAAGGACTAGGCACGTGAAATCAGTTATATAAACTCAAACATCCATTCTCTCTCTCTCTTTCTCTCTCTCTATATATATGTACTGTATAAATTATGTATAATTGGAAACCTTTTGGGAGTTCCGACCCCCTGACTTCTCCCCCGTTGGATCTGCCTTTGCCTACCATTCTCTCAAGCTGATGCTAAAATACTGACGAAATTGGCGAAATCATGAATTAGCGCTCTACATTTCCGTGCCGTATGTTGTATATATAAATGATTTCTTAATTAGCGGTATTCATGAATTAGCGCATCGCTGTCTGCGCCAAAGCCGCTAAAATGTGAAGCCCGCTTTTTTTAAGTACACATACAGTATGTTGTTGCACTGCGTGAGTAGACGGTTATACCTGCGTAAATTGTCAGTTTTCTTGCTGCACTGCGTGAGTAGACGGTTATACCTGCGTATATTGTCAGTTTTCTTGCTGCACTGCGTGAGGAGACGGTTATATCTGCGTAAATTGTCAGTTTTCTTGCTGCACTGCGTGAGTAGACGGTTATACCTGCGTAAATTGTCAGTTTTCTAGAACAGGAAAAATAGAGGGAACATTTGATCACTCCTACCTCTCATCATACATACAGACATTCGTGTTTAATATATGTATGCAGACATTTGCTTTATTTACGTCTCCCTTTGCAGTTTATGCCTATAAATAATGAGTTATTATTAACCATAAACAGTCATAAAATACCAGATATTTCTGTAAAACGTGAGAGATCTAAAATTTGATATGGATAATTTCACCTAGCAAAATATTATCACGGCTTAAACCAGGTTACACTGATAATCTTGTTGTCATTAAAGTTTTATATCTATAGTGTCATATCTTCACGCTTCGTAGTAGAACGCCGGCGCTATGGTAGAAATTTAACCCCGATCTATTTGTGCAAATACCTTGACTAATCAGTTATTTTTATTTTGTGTTTCTGAATGGACTTTTTTCCCATGTATAAATAGCCATACCCCGTCACGTGCGTTACCTCGCCCTCTCAAGACTCAATCATATGAGCGAGGGATCATTCGGGATGTAAGAAAGAGTCTGTGAAGAAAGGTAAGGAATTTTCCTTGTTTTTGTTTTTTTTTTTAAATTTTTATTTTTCATTAAAAGTCTTTAAGCACGCACATACAACTTTTTGGCGCATCATTCAAAGCTGATAGAGAATCATAGATAGATAAAGAGATGTGGGTCGTGCCACTAACTCAATGCAGTCAGATCATAACTTAATTTTTATCTATGTATACATTACTATTCAAACTCTTCTTCACTGTTGACCTATCTAGTATTAATAATTTCAATAAATTTTCTCAACATGTATTAAATACAAGGAGCGACCGTTTTGTTGTATACCACAAAATTCTTTACTATGTAAATATTTCTAAACTCAATTCAAGTGATTTGAATAAATACAATGTATTGTCTATTATTTTCCGAGCAGTTAATAATTTTGTTTATTATTTTAGGAAGTGGTTACAGATCTGTATTAACTTTGAGCTTTATAGCTCATCATTGCAATATGTATTTATGTATATATATAATGCATATTGTATATATCTACTTAAATCAATCCTTCATGGTTTCCAAGTAAGCGAAACTTGGTATATACTTCATGCAATTTGCTTCTGTGTAAAGTGTCACAGTTTATGTACTCTCAGTAATAAAAAAAAGTTTCAGCAATGACTAATCGAACTTTACCGTCTAGGTTTGGTGATACACAACTTCTTTCTAACTTTATTAACAGACGTCTCTGAAATCCGAATGTTTTTTGATAAACAATCAAGCTGAAATCCAAACTAGAAATTTTTGAATAAGTTAAAATCAATTTGAATTCTTTTTCTGGAAAAGCTACGTGCAATATTTCTAAATAAGTTACGCTTCAGAAGAATTTTTAAAATGAAATAAGGGTCAGGTGATGGTTTAAGGCGAACACTCCGAATTTAGGTGCGGTTCTCGGGTGTCGTAATATGACTTCCGCTTGTGATTATCACGCAATACAGAAATTCAACCCCAACTTTAACTCGATCTTCATAGTATCATATTATCGCCAGTTTTACAATTACATTTACAAGACACCTAGCTGATACCCTAATAAGCTCTTGCTTTACACTTTGGCCCGCGTGGCGCAGTGGTTAGAGCCTTTGCTCTAGAGTCGTGGGATAAGGAGTTGATCCTTACGTCGCGGGTTCGAATCCAACTGTGGGACGTGGATACCGGTCCTTCGGATGAGACCGTGTAAACCGAGATCCCGTGTCGCAGTAGGTGCTGGTACGAAAAAGATCCCTCACTGCTCAATGGCCCTAAGTGCCGAGTATAGGTAAAAAAATTTGCAGCTCTCCACCGGCATGTGGCGGCGTCTCCATATGAGTGAAAATTTCTCGAGAGGGACTTAAAACATTAAACAAACAAACAAACTTTACACTTCGAAGTACTATTGTAATTATCTCCATATATGTACTATAAATTGTCATTCATTCAATTACATGTATTTGTTTATTGAATCTAATTGCCTTTGATACAATAGAACATGTACAAGGAGATTTGGAATACTGAAATAAGAAATATCAAAGACGATTTTTCAGTAACATTATGAAATCAAGTATTGTGTCCGTATGTGATTACAAAAATTCCACAGGAAAATAAAATACATATCTAGAATTTTACTGTTCTGTAATTTTACAGTCTAAACAGTGCAGCGTCTCATATTGAGCTATTTACATAAGCGAAGTACAAGCTTCTGAAAATTCTACCATTACTACATGTAGTCTTCTGTTATAGCCACTAGATTTTACACATGCAAGAGCTTCGGGACATGTATAAGGACGAGACCTTTAATTAATCTGAAATTATCACCATCATCAGTGTTTGAGCAGAAACAGCGACAAAATATTATCATCGTTTTGAAATCAATCAATGAGATCACATCAGCTTTTGGAATGGCAGATTTTTTTTTCTCTCTCTCTCTCTTTTTAGTGGTTTATCTATAAATCTCTTTTTACTGTGTCTATGTATATGTGAATTTCTCTTATAAGTCGGTCGTTTACTTTTTTAGTGTATTATAGTTTCTGGAAGGTATTTTCTGACCATGCATGACCTCATTATAATATCCTTGCTCAGCCTTTATTCTTCAAGAGCTATCTTCATCTCAATTCTGAGCATCACACTCAAGAACTTGTAGCTGGTAGGGATTCTGTTCTTCCGTCGACTTCAACTAAATCACAACTGAATCAAGTAGTTAAAAAACAAAATCAATTTATTCGATCGCAAAGAAACATGTTTCTCCGGTATCTAGGTTTGTGGAGTCTTGGCGATCTGTAAACACATAAATTAGTCAAAGCCTTGCGTGACTGGGGTACAAATGGCGAAATAACACTGTTTGGTCACTTAGTTAAACAACTCCATATGAGATTTTTAATTGATTTTTGAAACCTCTTCTATTCAGATGAATTCTCTCGCAGCTAGCCTCGGTCAATATTTGGGTGTTTGAATAATGGAAGTGAACGAACAAGGGAAGCTTGGCCGATTTGAAAATTTCAGGTGTTTGCCTTTCCCTACATTGCTGGTCATAAATTATAGGAGGGTCAAGTGATAGTACAATTTAAATGGGTCACATATGCAAGAACCCTAATCGAAGATCATTGTCCTCCACAGAATTTCACTATATCTAACCCGAACAGGACGTGTCCACCACTGGACAACACAACCAAGGTATGTTGATGAAACTTAAGTCCGTCTAGTTACTAATGTAACAGCTTTCTTTTTCTCAATAACTATTTAACATTCAGTTTAAAAATATATTTACGAATGTATCTTGGAGTCTTTGCTGTGAAAATAGCTCTACTGAATATAAGAAAAGTTTCCTTAAATTCTAAAATCCATAGTCTAATAGTATGCAATAATTGAACGCAAAATTTGTGTTGCGTGAAGCGATGCTTAACGGGACGCACCGATATAACCATTTGTTTTGCACCTAAACCGACAAAAACAGTACAGTCTTCTGGATTCAATTAAATCGTTCAATATTTCATTTGAACCAGGTTTTATGCCGTTTTGTTAAGTTACATGTATCGATATTTGACTTGATCCAAGATCAAATATATTCGTTGATTTCCGTCATGCTTCGGAAGTAGCCGATACCGCACAAGGTCACCATGACAACAAATTATGCTTCATTTGCTAATTAAAAATGAAACTGAGATTATTGACACTTAAACCATGTGCAACCATCCATCGGTAACAATGGATTGAAATGGCACAAAAATAAATTATCATATTACGGCTTTTATTGTCTGGAATCCATTGTCTTTATCACAACATACTTATGCTGGTAAAATGGTGATCACTAACAAGCAAAACAATAAAAAAGGCCAAAAACGAAAATAATTAGAAATTTTCAAATTCTGAGGGCCGTCTTCAACAAGCATATTCAACAAGCATAGAAAAAAAGGCCATAACATTAGCAAATGGCCAATCAACACGAAACTCTAACTTGATCTGTATATAAGTCATGAATTCATTCTTTTCAAAAGTTATGACCCTTGGCCGTCATCTTTGGGAACACCCATAGAATCCTCACAGTAGCCTTTGTGGCCTGTAACTTTGGCATTTGACTGGAAAAAAATCTTTGCGCCTCGTATATTGATTGCCCCAGGATGGGGCTACCAATGGGTTGAAAGATAAAAAAGTTAACACAGTGGATTTATCAGAGCACCACCACAAGTTTGGTAGCATAAAGAGGAAAAATGTCGTTTCTTTCCCTTTTGACCTTTTGGTTAACCCCGCAAAGGGACATAACTTTTGCAAAGTGTGGATTGGACTACCGGTATATCAATGAAATATGGCGATAACGAACAGTAATCCATCTCAAAAGTCCATTGAAACAATACAAATTGGGAGCAGAGCAAACGCGAATCTCTAAGAGATGGGATCAGGTGCCATGGAGGAGTAAGCATCCCCTGTCGGTCGGTCACGCCTGCCGTGTGCTCCTTGTCATGATCGGGCAAAAGAAAAAATCCGTAGACATGCAATTCAGTGTGTAAATAATGGCCTAACGTTTAGTATGAAAAAAGTCAGTCAGCATTTGACTTAATGAAAGATTGTATTTGCTGACAAGGTCATTGTATCGACCATAGAACTTTCGAAATGTTGACTCCATACGAGACTGTTGATATTCTTGTTTCAGCAATTTGTTTGTCAGTAGCTTGCCTGGTTTTTGAAATTGTTGGTTCGTAGAGCATGCTTTTGCGTATCGAATCAACTGGGAGACATAAACTCCATATGCAGGTGATAAGGGTATATTGCTACATAAATAAGGGAAGTTGATGATAGAAAAATTGAAGGCATCATGTTTATCATAAAGTTCTGTTGTTAGGTTACCATTAACGTTTTTTTTTTAGTTAAAATATCCAAATATGAAACAGATGTGTCAGACTGTGTCATTGTGGTATCTTTTATTTCAAGTTCACTGGGATATATCGAGTCGACATAGGAATGAAAGTAACTATTGTTAATTGATAAAACGTCGTCGATATATCTGCATGTAAAAATGTCAATTTTCTTCTCAAGTAGAAATTTTTGAATAAGGGGGCGCAATTTTTACCCATGGGAATTCCTACAGATTGTTGGAAGACTTGGTCTCCAAAACTACATAGATATTTTCAATCAGAAATCGAGCATCCTTTTAATACATGTATCAACTTTGGAGTACTTGTGTGTACAATCAGAATGTTTTTTAACAAACAAAAAAAAATGCAAATGACCAATGACAAGGTGAATAAAATTTTATTCCAATTTTAATGAAAAAGCATCTGTCTATGATGTCAAAAGCCTAAATAATTTATCATGGGGAATGGGTGTATCAAGCCGTGTGATTTCAAATTTTCTAAAAGTTCCTTGGACTCCCTCTCCGCTGATAATATTTTAGTGAGGAGTAAAGAAAGACGTTTGGAAGAACATTTATTGGAACCCGCTATTTATCTTTGTAAGAATTTTTATGTAGTATAGGAATCCAGTATAGGTATGGTAATTCAAATTCAGTTTGATTGTTGGAAAAATTATATTAAAAATATTTGAAACTGACATGATTTTGAAAAATTTCTTCCTTAGAAAGGGAGCTAAGGGTATAAGTTGGATTACCACTTGCAGAATTAAATCCCAGCTCCTCTAAAATACAATTAAAATAATGAGCCTCACAAACAATTACATTGTTATCAACCTCGGCCATTTCACGGTGGAGGCACTAAAAACATATAATTTAAAGAAAGAGTTTACTTATAAATTCAGGAATAGAAGTTTGAAAATGATCATTTCGGCTTTGGACAAACCAGTAAACAGACAGCGAAGACAAAAAAATTTGATCAAAGACATACGGCAGGCGATTCATTTTGAAAAAAAGACAGACGAACTGACCGAAAGACTGAAGAACCAATGCGTGCTCTTCTGATGTTCTAAACATATTTCATAAATGAAACAAATTTGTAACGTCATATTTGACGTCATATATGCATGCTTATGACGCCATAAGTTTTACACGTAGCCACCAAAATATGCTGAGCGAGAAAAGTGATATTCAACTATAGCAGAATGGGATAAGATTTCGTACTTCTAATTCTTGATGATTATGAAAGGTATGACGCATTCTTTTGTTATGATAAGATTTCCAATATTCTTACACAACCAGATCTAGATATATAACGTTAGATATATCATTGAATGCACAATTATTTTAGGAATGACTCTAATTCTTGGCCAAATTATTCGAGGATAACCTGGTTTGGGTCAGTTTACGCTTTATAATCCGCGAAGCGGATTATAAAACAGCGTAAACTGACCCAAACCAGGTTATCCTCGAATAATTTGGCCAAGAATTAGAGTCATTCCTTATAATTTAATTCTAAAATCATTAAACAACTGTGGGTGTAAAATTTCGTTGCTTTTTATTAGTTCAAATTTGCCGCTCAATAATACAACCCTAGTAACGGAAGTGATGGGAAGCGAGGGGAGGTAAAAACTGATACATAGTCCTAGCAGCCATGATTTTTGTTTACATGTGGTAAGATCCGAGTTACTGTTTGAAGTTAAAGGTACATTTATTAAATCTGGAATTTTCCATGAATCCCGAGGACTGGAAATGAAAGGATTGCATGGATACAGACGATTCAGCTGGTTGTCAGGGGGGGGGGGGGTGTCCCCATACCAAACCAGGTTATACAGAAATAATTTGTGTTCCTTTTTGGATATTAACCAATCAGAGGCTAGAATACAAACAAAATTAAATTATTATCATATGTAAACGCCGTGGTGATATCAAACATCACATTTTATACTGTAAAATAGAAATTTTACGACACAAATTTGTTGAGAAATTATAGCATTTTGGGACTAGAAAATAAGCCTTGATGATTTCTTTTTTTTCTCCATAATCAGTGTATCATTTCGCTAACAGCATCCTCGGAGAAGAATCTTTAGACAATAGGCCTAGTTGAATTCACACTTCAAAAGTTATGTCCTTTGGCCGCCATCTTTGGGGGGAAACCCCTTGAATCCTCACAGAAGCTTTTGTAGTTTTTTGGTTTGTAACTTTGTCATTCGACAGGAAAAAATCAGCATCTTATATATCGATTGCCCCAGGATGGGGCTAACCACACATCGAAAGAAAACAATTTAAACATAGCGGAGCACGGGTATGGTAGCATAAAGAGGAGAAATGTTTCTTTCCCTTTTGACCTTTTGGTTGACCCTGGAATGGGACACAACTTTTGCAAAGTGAGGATCGGACTAAGTGAAAAAAATCATAGAAATAAGGCTAAAATTGACCTCACAATAAGCTTTTATAAAAATTGGTTTTTCAATGAAATATCTATCTATATATAAATATCTATCTAAAAAATGAAATTATTACCATCGTATGACAAATATTGTACATGTATATATAATTTTATCTGTCAACTGATGAAGTTATTAAACAGGTCACGCATTCTATACTTTAACTGATAACAGTGTGATAAAGTTGTCTGCGAAAGGCAAATTCTATACGGTCAAGCTTCCCAGACGTTTTACACCCCAAACTCTACATATTTTACACCCCCGCTCCAGGAAGTTTTCTTTATTTCTTCACAAACTTTTAGCAGAAATATATACACAGTATACCCAAAATGAAAAATCCAACAAAACACCTGGAATAAATGTTCTAAATAGAAAATCATAAAACGTATTTATAGCGAACTTATGATTTTTTTTTTTACAGCGTTTACTGTATAAATGTTATCTTTTGCATGGATGCTTCAGCTTCACATTAAACACACTGCAAATATGTCCGAAGAGTCATTATGGAAAAAAAAAACCCAGAGAGATAGTTCCTTGGATTTATAGTCAGGGGGTACGATCTGGTCCGCAAACAACTGTGAATTAATAAGAAAAAAATAATAATTTAAATAATTTCAGATTTTCTATACGAGGTAGAGAATATAAATCGAACTCTTCTAAAATCTCGTTTAAATAAATCAAAGGCAGAATAAAGTATTTAAACAGAAATATGACAGGCTAAAGCCTAATGACACGTGGGGGAATTAAATTTCTGAAATATTAAATCATGCCTCTGACGGGGGATAGAACAGCATGCCACTTTATGATTGGACCTTTAAATTTGAAAATATATTTTGAAAACAATACTAGAAATCAATTTTCTAATCCCTATTAACACCCTGAATAGAGAGTGCAGTTAAAGGAGATTGGTCAGTGCACGTCGCAGTTATGAATAGTGCTTGTGGTAGATTATTTGCCTTATTGAACAGGAATGGAAATATTTTTCTTGGTTGTCAAGTTCAGCTATAAACAGTCCAACCCGAAAAAGTAATGGATGTCACGCGTAGATTTCCCTTTAAAGATCGCGAAATTGATGTCGTTGTTTGCAAAACCCGATCTCTGAAGGTAGGCATTCCGTTATAAATGGCACGAATTAATGTTAAAATCTTGTCTCTTCATTTTATGTGATCTATTTCTAGTTTGGTATTTTCCTCTACTTATTTTTAATAATTTTTTAACGACATCGTATATATATATATATATATATATATATATATATATATATATATATATATATATATATATATATATATATATATATATGTGTGTGTGTGTGTGTGTGTGTAGTTTAGTTGCTTGTCTTCTCGATATTATATTGTTTATAACATAATACATAATATATTGTATAGATTTTGGTTAATATATAAGCGGATAATACTTCATAGTCATACTGCGTGGCATTTTCAGGAATGTTCTATTTAGATACTTGTCTGTATTCGCGCTAAAACAAATGAATATTATAAACCACTTCCTGACCATTTTTTTCGGAACATATTTCTTAAATCTTTTATTCTAATTTTTTTTTAGAGCTCTAAGCAACGCACTACGCATTTAAAGCGAGAACATAACAGGATTCTTTTGTGTGTGGGTTTGAAAACGGAATCAATTCTGATTTAAATGCAAGCGATTCTTCCAATACTCTCGCCTTTTCTCTCATATTTAATTTTTATTCAGTATTCATGCCTTTTCAGAAAGAATCTAAATACTCCACAACACGACTCAGACTACCGGTAATTCAGAATTAAATGAGTTATTTAATCCTATCTGCAGTTTTGTTTATCACGTTTTTGAATCATATCTGTCTTGCTTGTCTGGTAGAAGCTACAGATCTGTAGCTCACTGGTTTGGATTTTTACAGCAGTGAGCTACCGATCTACAGTTGGACTGGTAGTTACATGTACCAGGGGCGCACTGATTGCTGATTCGTGTCCTCCCCATTCAGCTGGTTATAGTGACAGGAGAATAAAATTAATACAAAAGGAATTATGAAATGATTGATTTTATGATTTCTTTCAGTGAGATGGAGGGGACACCACGCCATTGGAGCTGCGTCAGGGTGGGGCAGTGGTTGACGGACAGCGGCTTCCAGAAATACCGCCAAGTGTTCGAGGACAGTAAGATTGACGGAGAAGCTTTGTTTGACCTGACGGAGGAAGCGATGGGGAGAGACCCCCTAAACATTACAGTGTCTAGTGATGTAGAAAAACTCAGTGCATGTATCCAACAACTTAAGCAAGACATTGCTCAATTTCCACAACTCACAGCCTACAAAGATTACCAGGTGTTAGACATGGAGGACTCGGAGAACAGTTTTGACAGTGACAGAGAACTCTTAAGTAAGACGGACGACAATCAGAATACTGTATATTATAGACGCTTCCGCTCAGATCTACGAAAAGCCCTGTTTGCCATTCTCTATGGCACCCTGAGCCATTTTTTGACTTCTGTCGCCATTGTGAACGCGCAGGAAAAGCTGCCGGACAAGAAGAAATATCCCCCTCTGCCGGACATCTACCTGGACAATTTCGCCGTCATTCCCTGGGCCTATAAAGTCTCTGAGAGCGTGATACTGAGTCTAATCATACTACTTTTGTTACTCTTAGTCTTCCATAAGAGCAGGTACTGGAGTTAACTGTCAGTCATTCTAAATAGTTCATCTTTTATATGAAACATAACGTATTTTGTACTAGTTTAACTTGCGACCGACGAAGATCATGCTAGAAAATCTAGCTTAGTATTTATTTTTTCATTGAATTCCAGAAAAGAAAAAGAAAAGAAAATAGTGAGAAAATAAGATTTTGGACTATAAAAAAGCAGTGTGCATTTATGTATATCCATCTGAGTCTTAAGAATGGTTTTCACTATATATTCTATTATTTATATTTCGATGAATTTTTATAAAGTTCTTCGATACATTTTACTAATGAACATAAATCCATAACGTACACTATAGCTCATTTTCCAATAAAAGTAATCAGTTCTTATTGCAATAAAAGTAATCAGTTCTTATTATAATAAATGTAATCAGTTCTCATTGCAATAAAAGTAATCAGTTCTTATTGCAATAAAAGTAATCTGTAATTAGTTCTTACTGCAATATAAATAATCAATAAAAGTAACCAGTTCTTGAGCAATAAAATAATAAGTTCTTATTGCAATAAAAGTAATCAGTGCTTATTACAATAAAATACTAAGTTCTTATTGCAATAAAAGTAATCAGTGCTTATTACAATAAAATAATCAGTTCTTATTGCAATAAAAGTAATCAGTGCTTATTACAATAAAATAATCAGTTCTTATTGCAATAAAAGTAATCAGTTCTTATTGCAATAAAAGTAATTAGTTCTTATAACAGTAAATGTAATCAGTTCTTATTGCAATGAAAGTAATTAGTTCTTATTACAGTAAATGTAATCAGTTCTTATTGCAATAAAAGTAATTAGTTCTTATTACAATAAAAGTAATTAGTTCTTATTACAGTAAATGTAATCAGTTCTTATTTTCTTAATCCAGTAAAAGTAATCAGTTCTTATTCAAATAAAAGTAATCAGTTCTTATTCTTATTAATATAATTACAATAAATGTAATCAGTTCTTTTTTCCAGTAAAAGTAATTAGTTCTTATTTCAATAAAAGTGGTGTAGTTTTGCAGCCAAAATAATTTTACTGATTCAATCATTTCAGCATATCTTGACTTGTATATAATTATATGTTTATGATGAGAATTAATTAAAACGTTAGATCACGCCTTTTACATTCATTATTTATTAATTTTAGACGGCGAAAAAGTCGGCGCGAATTGTTATTAATTCAGGTAGCGTTCTTTACCAACTAATTTTTACTGGCTTTGAAGCAAGAAAGTCGGGCGTAAAATAAAATAAATCAATTTCTTTTCCTTACATTCGTCAATAAGTCAACGCAAACATATCTTTATATTCGATTTTATTTTTGCTTTAATGGATGTTTAATATAAAGTATATCTGATAGAGAAAGAGATTTATGGTTTTCCACTTCTCTGATGCCAAATAGAAAATATTCAGCCCTTAGCTATCGTTTTTTTTTTTTTTTAATTTTAACGATTTTTTAGCAAAGGAGATTTGTTTTAATGATAAATTAGTATAAGTGATCAGTTTTGACGATTTTTAGTTTAGGAGACTTGTATGTTTTGACAATTTTAATGAAGGAAGATCTGTTTGGATACCAACGGTGATCGATAGAATGTGATTTGTATTTGATTAGCTTAATGCCATTAGGCCAGACTTAATACATGAAGTTAATTCAACTTTTTATGTCGTCAACTAAGTAGGTTCAGCAAAGTTACCATCCAAAATAAAAGATAATTAAAAAATAATAGTAATAATAAATCTACATAATGATATAAGTCCAGACGTACAAAGTTTCAGTATTAATTATTTTGGACATGAGATAAATAAAAATAAAATCATACAACCTTCTGCACATGTTTTACATATAATATTGATTTTTAAAAAAACAAAAAATGTATGTAAAGAAATTGTTTCCGTTTCATATAAATTTTTTTTCCATTTTACCACAGAAGTATTTTGTTTGAAATGTTTGTTCATTTTTACACCTTCCCCCATTAAAGCTTTTTGAAATAGATCTAACAAAACACGTCAAAATTATTCTTTAATGACCTTAAAATACCGGATTTAAGCCTCTTACAGTAGTACTGTGTACTCTGATTGACCAGTGTAGATTACATTAGTGTCCCTGTCTTAGACGATGAGGGTGTTTAAAAAAAGATTATGAAAGTCGAGTGAAAGCAAGGAGTATAATTTAGAACAATAAGCAGAGACTGTTGTACTGGGTTAAAAACTGGAACTATTTCTCAATTCAGTTCGTGAGTAAACTTTGTGGGGTTTAAAAGTCAAGCTTTAATTTGTATCCCAGGATGAAGTTAATTTTGAAGAAATGTGATCCGAAATTTAAGGAAAATATTGAAATGGAAGCGACCATGATGAATTTTAAAATCTGAGAAATTTGGGAGAAAATGTCATTCTTCTAGATTTTTTTTTTCATTGAAAAAGTAATTTAAATTATTCTAAAATTATGGGATACTAATTAACATTGGAATGCTTACTTTTAGGCCCGCCAAATTATAACCTTAGTTCGTTAGATGTTTTTTTTTTTTGAGGCACAGACATTAGTTCTTTGTTTAAACTCCTCTGCAAATAAGGTCCTCCAAATAATCAAGATATTTTTTAAAAAAGAGGGGGGAGGGTGAAAGGTATGAATATAGAGTTAATATATGATCAATGAATTCTTTAGTATTTTTGTGATTTTTTTTTTTGGGGGGGGGGGCTATTAATTGGTGTTCTTTTCAATATTTAGACTCAGTTCATTAACAGCTTAATCTGAGTAACCTCACAGCACGGTTTGATACGAAGCTATGAACTCTATTTATCAAACAACCTAGGGAATTCAGGAATTATTTCAATATTATAAAGCTTTAGAACCTGCAGTAAAATAATTTTTTGTCATCGATTTCATTTAAAATTACGAGTTCATAGTGGGGTATGTAGTTTATTCACGAGGTCTCAGTCAATAATCCGCATAGCTTTGTAGAACCATTTCCACAAAGCACAGTCTAAACGAAGGAAAAATTCTATATTGATAATGCTGTAATCAGAATAATAAGGGACATTTCCGATTAATTTGAAATTAGTAGATGTAGGGGGTATAATGATAGGGCCAGAATTATAAATAAGCTTTTTATAAAAATAGCAGACCATCATTTTATTATTACACAAACTGATATCTTTGGTAACTGTAAAAAAAAATTTCACACATTCCAACTATTAATGACGACCAGTTAATTAATATGTATAAATTACACTAATATGTATTTTGGTAAATCGGTAGAGTTGTCAGTTTATGTATTTACTTGTATATCATTGACTATTGGTTTTTTTTATCTGAACTTGTGTACAGTTGTTAGAATTTACTTATATTTCTCAGTATTGACTATAATGTTATTATCTGTTGTATAGTTGTCAGTATTTACTTATCTGCTGTAGACCTGTCAGTTTTTACTTTGTAGTTTCTACATCTTAAGCAGTGCCTGGGAAGGTCAAGCAACAGGTGGGGCCAATGGCCCCACTGTTCATAAAATGATGGGGCCATTTTGAAATTTAAGGGGCCGAGGGGAAATATATTGGGGCCATTCTAAAATAAATCATAGTATGATGCTATTGGATAATACATATATCTCTAACAACAAAATTTAGGAAAATTAAAAAGAAAAATGCGATAGGAATTGACAAGTCGTATGACATTGACTAGTACAAATGATTTTTCCGTTTCTAAGAACTTCAGTCAATTGTCATCTAGATTCTAACCAACTAGTATTTAGAAAAATTATATTTAAACCAAAAGCACCATTTTTTAACGATGCCGATTTAGAGATCATGGGACAGGCTAAAATACATTGTAAGTGGACTTCGTTGAAAAGGTTTTTCATTGTAAGGTATATAAATTTTCCATGTGCGTGACTTTCGTAAAGCTGTGGTCAACCATCGAAAACGACTAGACACTTACGAATCGAACAACATGAAAAAAAAAATTGTTTCTTTGCCAGTGGATGTCAATATGCCGAATGATGGTTCCGATTTTATTATATAATAGCGAGCGCAGCGAGCGGCGCGAAGCGCCGCTCGTCACTGCGAGCTCTAACGACAACGCCTGGGCGAAGAGAAAATTCGGACTACTGCACATTCATTCAACAGAATTTTTTTCCACAGTAATTCTGACCCACAATGCATCGCTTCTTGTTCTCGCTGCTAACTTCGTTCACGCGGTGACAACAACTAAAAATTCACACAAAATAAACTTGAACCTTAATTTAATGGATATTGCCTGCAGATAGTAGATTAAACGTTTTTTTTAAAAATATTTGCACTTTTTAAACTTTGTTTATGGAAATGCAGCTAACATACGACGTCATGTGACGTCACAGTCTAGACGTTCCAAATGTCTCGTGCGGTTTGAAGAGGCGGATCATAATAATGAAGTGAACACTGCGCTCGCCCCAACGGTCGCACCGTCAACATATTACATCACAGATTCCATCTAACTTCGATGAAGAATACAGATAGCGCGGACTGCGATGAACTTACAAAGTAATAAAACATGCATACCCGCATTTTGCGGGGCGCGCCGCATGGCGCTGCGCACCATTATTTCATTGCGCCATTTTTCGACAGTATGCGCATATGGCGCATGGCGCTGTCCCTTCCCAGGCCCTGCAGTTAAGATATGTCTATAAGTTGTTATTTATCTGTTACTGACTTTTCGGTATTGACAAATGTTATTTATTTGTTACTGACTTTTCAGTATTGACAAATGTTATTTATTTGTTACTGACTTTTCAGTATTGACTAATGTTATTTATTTGTTACTGACTTTTCAGTATTGACTAATGTTATTTATTTGTTACTGACTCTTTGGTATTGACTAATGTTATTTATCTGTTATTAACTTTTCAGTATTGACTAATGTTATTTATTTGTTTCTGACTTCTCAGTATTGACTAATGTTATTTATCTGTTACTGACTTTTCAGTATTGACTAATGTTATTTTTCTGCTACTGACTTTTCAGTATTGACTAATGTTATTTATCTAATTACTGACTTTTCAGTATTGACTGATGTTATTTATAAGTTACTGACTTTTCAGTATTGACTAATGTTATTTGTTTGTTACTGTAGTGACTTTTCCGTATTGACTAATGTTATTTATTTGTTACTGACTTTTCAGTATTGACTAATGTTATTTATCTGGTACTGACTTTTCAGTATTGACTAATGTTATTTGTTTGTTGTAGACTTGTCATCCTTCGCCGAACTCTAGTCATCGCTGGCAGTATTTACCTCTTAAGATGTGTCTGTGTGTCTGTGACAAACCTACCTATGCCAGAACAGCATTACAACTGTGATAGAATGGTTAGTCTTCAGATTTTCAGATAAAAAAAATCATTTAGCTATATCATTTGTATTTACTTGACGTCAACGAATCTACCAAAAAAAAAAAAAAAAATTAAAACATGTCTAATTTGAATGTTGTGTATTCCAAATCTTACCTATCTTGATGTTCAATAAATTCAATTATTTAAAATATTATCTTATTCGGAAGGTTACCTAACCCGGCCAATTTCTATAGAAACAATGGTGTCCGGATTAGACAAGTTTTACTGTAGTTCTACCGTCCTAGTCAGGCTGAAATCCTGGTATAGGATTACACCTCAGCATGAATTATTACAGATATGTCGATTTTTTACAGGTGTTCGCAGACTCCTGGAGTAAGATGAAGAGGATTATGGTGGTATACTCAGGGATGGGGATGAAGTTGGGAGGAATGAAGACCTGTGGGGACTACATGTTCAGCGGCCACACTATCACAATCACCGTGGCAACACTCACCGCCATTGAATGTAAGTCGTTATATATTTTTTTCAAAGCTGAAGTGACACTTACTGATAAATTATTTAATATATCTTATTGACACAAGTTAAAATACGAACAGTTGGGTTTGAAAGTAAATATCATAAATTTAAAAAATACACAGTCTAAAACTGACTCTTAACGGGCCTGTAAACATTTTGAATGTGATATGTATGGAACGCCATAGCTGCCTTATGTGGTTATTTCATGAGAAGATGGTGCTTATTTATGTTATACTGTGGTTATTTCATGTGAAGATGGTGCTTTTTTATGTTATGCTGTGGTTATTTCATGTGAAGATGGTGCTTTATTATGCTATGCTGTGGTTATTTCATGTGAAGATGGTGCTTTATTATGTTATGCTGTGGTTATTTCATGTGAAGATGGTGCTTTTTTATGTTATGCTGTGGTTATTTCATGTGAAGATGGTGCTTTATTATGTTATGCTGTGGTTATTTCATGTGAAGGTGGTGCTTTTTTATGTTATGCTGTGGTTATTTCTTGTGAAGGTGGTTTTTTGTGTGAAGGTGGTTTTTCATGTGAAGGTGGTTTTTTTTATGTGAAGGTGGTTTTTCATGTGAGGGTGGTTTTTCATGTGAAGGTGGTTTTTTATGTGAAGGTGGTTTTTCATGTGAAGATGGTTTTTTATGTGAAGGTGGTTTTTTTTATGTTATGTTGATGTTTTTTTTATGTGAAGGTGGTTTTTATATTTAATGAGAAGGTTGTCACTCGGAATTCCTCACAAACAAATATTCGATGTAATTAAAATCATTTTAATACTCCATTGCTAGTATCCTCTTTCTTCCATAGGCCTTTAGTTTCAGGATTGTGTATTTTGTGTATCATGTTTTTTTTCTAGGTGTTTCTGAATACACTCGATAACATAAAAATAAAAAAAAATCTCTGAAATTAGCACGTTTTAAAAATGTCATATTACTGTCCACTGTATAAAAAAAGAGTTGCTATTTACGGGGTGTCTGGTTCGGTTCACACTTGATTTTATTCAATATCTAAACTTTTCCTACCAGTTTTGGGTGAAATCTACATTACAAAATGATTGAATAACGCCCTTCAATCGTCTGCCAATTTGAACTTGCCGTATTAAATATGCAGTAAACAAAAACGTGCTGATACCTAACACTGAAAGTGAAAGCAATGGAAGTGACGATTTTTAACTGTGTACTAAAATGTAGATGCGTCCCGGAATGACACGGAAAGTCTAGAGAGAACAAGTTTGGCGCGGTTTCTGACCCCTCTAGATTTTCCGACAATGGCAACTGTCGTACCTTCACTCTTATTATATACAGTAATATGACATTTTTAAAACGTGCTAATTTCAGTGATTTTTTTTTATTTTTATGTTATCGAGTGTATTCCGACACACCTAGAAAAAACATAATACACAAAATACACAATCCTGAAAACAAGTGCCTATGGAAAAAAGAGGAACTAGCAATGGTGTATTAAAATGATTTTAATTACATTGACTATTTGTTTTACTTTCAAAATTTCGAGATAATAGCTGTTTAACTCAGTCTTCAAAAATATGAGGAGTACTGAGTGACAAACTTCTCATTAAATATAAAAAAAACAATCTTCACATAAAAAACATTAGCATAACATAAAAAACCACCTTCACATGAAAAACCACCTTCACATAAAAAACCACCTTCACATGAAAAACCACCTTCACATAAAAAACCACCTTCACATAAAAAACCACCTTCATATATAAAACCACCTTCACATAAAATAACCACAGCATAACATAAAAAAGTACCACCTTCACATGAAATAACCACAGTATAACATAATAAAGCACCATCTTCTCATGAAATAACCACATAAGGCAGCTATGGCGTTCCATAGATATGCATGTACTTTTCTCTGCGTGGGCTTGTTGGTACTCAGTATATGCATAGTCAGACACCAGCGTTGGTTGGGCCTTACTTTTCTAGGTTAACCAGTTCTGGCTTTGTTTAGATGTTAAGCAGAACTAGACCTTGATGTGATCGAATATTATAAGCAAAGTTAGCTCGCCTGTTACAAAGTTAGCTCGCTTGTTACAACAACATTGACCAGTTAATATTTTTCTTTAAATCTAAGTAATTTGTCAATAAGAAAATGCATTTGTATATATAGCAATTCGACCAAAAAGACTGACGTATTTCTGTGATTGATTTCAGACACCCCAAAGCGCTATCGTCTGCTCCACGTGGCCCTATGGTTGTACTGTTTCTGCGGGATGTGGGCGATTCTGGCGTCACACGGGCATTACACACTAGATGTGGTGGTGGCATTCTACATATCATCACGAATCTTCATGTACTACCACACTTTCGCACACAATCTTTCCCTGATGCGCCGCAGCCGGAAGCGTATTAAAATGTGGTTTCCGGTTTTCTATTTCTTTGAAAAGGATGAACGTGGAGGGATAAAAAATGAGTTTGAATGTCCGGTACCTAGTTATGAAAGCATTAGAAAATTTATAAAGGATAGTCGTGTAGACTTCTGCTTAAAGCGGTACACAGCGTTCCGCCATTCCTGATCCTTGTTTTAGATGTATATATCTGATCATGATTCTATCAGTCATTTATCTACAACAAAAAACGATGCAAATCAATGCAATGTGTCTGTGTGTTTGTGACTGTGTTAGTAAAGAATTCGCTATGCAATAATTGTATATTTTCTGAGGTATTTATTTATTTATTTAAAAAGGTGTTGATTTACTGCTGTGCATTTCTGAACACGTTTTTTGTGTTTTACAGCATTTTAACACTGATTTTAATAAAATTGTAAAAGAATTTATGCTTTAATTTACTTCATTTAACCATCCCACACGGGCGGGATAAAGATAAATAACATTATCAATAAATAACATATTACTATGTTTACCAACTTTACCGGTCCAATATCTTTGTAGCAGAAACAATATAACTATACTTCAAACCCATAACGTTAGTGAATTAATCTAAAATGAAATACCCTACTTAATAAATCGATGCCCTTGTCAATTAGCCATGAAGACTTGAGACGACAATGAGATTATTAAAATTTAACCCTACAGACCAGTCAAAATACCAACGCAGCAAATTGCTTTTATAAAAAAAATCCTGAGTAGATTATCGTGCTAAGTGTACTGTACTTTAGAGAAATATTCAAAATGAATATTAGCCAAAATGCCCAATCTTCGAGTAATTGCAGTGTATTAATAATCAGAATTAAACTATAATACATGTACTATAAACAATATGTTTCTTCCATTTCAGCAGCGTTTCTTTGTAAAAGCTCCATGTGTTTTATGAATTCCTGTTCGAACATTAAATCGTACAAGATTTCTGTTACATTGAATTTATTGCGTAGGAAAAATTTGGCCGCCTGTTCCTTCATTGACGATCAGTACCCTATATAAAATTCTGAAGAGCTATAAAGCACGTTGTAAAAACAGAGCACCTCTAGTTTAATTGCTTTATATGTACATGATGTAAATGGTGTCGATAATTCCCAATGCAAACCTTGTAAAATAATAAAGCATGAACTTCTCATTAAAGTGGCATTTTCACTGGTGGATTAAATGTTTAAATAAGAATAATAATAATTTTGATAAGAAAACTTCACAATTTCTGTATTCATATACCATCAGACTAAATTAAAAAAAAAAAAGATCGTGACAGGGAAACATTTTGAATGCATGACTTGAATATATTTATTCATAGCATTTATTTGGTTGTGAAAAGATTTTTTTAATTGAGGCTTTATTTTTCAAATATATTTTATGGATATTTAGTTATTCACTGCCCTTTAAAGTAAAAAAAAGTCCAGTTAAAAAAGAATGATAAATTAATATTTTGAAATAAAATGTACATAATGCTCTGGCACATAAAAGTGCACAGTCATGTTAAACTAAAGTAGAGAGCATTAAATACATCTGAAAATAAAATATAATATATAAGGCACACTAGTATATTAGGTGACAATTACAGATATTTTCAAATAACAAGGAAACAATACAAAACACGTACACAAGGGATAGAAGTGTACAGCAGGTGTGACCATCCACAGGGGACGCTTAATTCTCATAGGTACCTTATCCCACCTCAGTATAGAGGGCTTACGACGGGTAGTATATATTTTTTTTTAGGAATATTTTATTTTATTCTAAATACATGTAGAGGGTGAGAGATTGTAGATTGCGTATGTATTTGTTGAATTGCTCAAAATTGTGTTGTAGGTGTAAACGGTCCACAGGGGATGGTTAGTCTTCTTAGATACCTTATCCCATCTCAATACAGAGGGCTTACGACGGGTGTGAACGGTCCACAGGGGATGGTTAGTCCTCTTAGGTACCTTATCCCACCTCAGTATAGAGGGCTTACGACGTATGTGAACGGTCCACAGGGAATGGTTAGTCCTCTTAGGTACCTTATCCCACCTCAGTATAGAGGGCTTACGACGTATGTGAACGGTCCACAAGGAATGGTTAGTCTTCTTAGGCACCTTATCCCACTTCAGTATAGAGGGCTTACGGCGGATATGAACGGTCCACGGGGGATGGTTAGTCCTCTTAGATACCTTATCCCACCTCAGTATAGAGGGCTTACGACGGATGTGAACTGTCCACGGGGGATGGTTAGTCCTTTTAGGTACCTTATCCCACCTCAGTATAGAGGGCTTACGACGGATGTGAACTCACCACGGGGGATGTTTAGTCCTCTTAGGTACCTTATCCCACTTCAGTATAGAGTGCTTACGACGGGTGTGAACGGTCCACAGGGGATGGTTAGTCCTCTTAGGCACCTAATCCAACCTCAATATAGAGGGCTTACGACGGATGTGAACGGTTCACGGGGGATGGTTAGTCCTCTTAGGTACCTTATCCCACCTCAGTATAGAGGGCTTACGACGGATGTAACCGTCCAGGGGGATGCTTACTCCTCCCAGGCTTTTGACCTATCTCTGGTGTTTTCAGTGATCCCTGTTTTTGCCCTGTTCACGTTTCGTATTGTTTACATGATTCATGAGATGGATCTTAATTCGTTATCTTCACTTTTGTCAAGTGTAAAAGCACTTTTGTCTATGTAAAAGTATGTATACAATTTATCAGAGGCATGCATAACTTTTATTTTCTGCCTATATGGATGGTGTTTGTACATTTTTAAAACGGGCTTCAGGACCATAAAACATCTTGAAGTCATGATCTATATAAGTCAAATATTTTATGGATGTGTCAGTTTCTGGTCCTGGGGCCTGGAGACAGCCCTGTTTAATGCTAAAACTGTTTCAACGAGGAAAAGTCTAGATTTCATGAATTCCCCACATTGATTGTTGTTACACACTGTCAACATAGCGGGAATAGACAAACATTTGGAAATATATCTGTAAATGTTTCCAGTAGTTTAAGTGCCAAGTTCTAGTTCAAGACCGGGAAGACGTGCGACCGTCAGAGGTTAAATGTAGTGGACTCCTTTATATTGGACTTAACAAGGTAACGGGGTGGAAAATGAGATGTATCTTACAATGGAGTGACACGCCCCTTTCTATACTAAATTGGTTGTGCATTTAAAAAAAGTTTTTTTAAGGTTAAATGATTTAAGAAGCTTGATTTTTTTACTGAGTGTAAAGGAAATGAAAAGCGCAGCATTCAGAACGATCAGTTAGCACTTGACAGCGATTCAACCCCCTATCTCATGAACGATCATTACTTGAGTTTGTGTCATTGCTCTCAGTCCGCTGATCCAAACAATTTTGGTTGAAGGTCGCATCATGTCTTTTGTGAAAGAAAAATACCCTAACGACCATGTCTACATTTAGCCTAAACAAAATGTAACAAACGATTAAACACTATTAAAACAGGCCCGTAGAAATCAAGGGGGGGGGGGGCATAGGGGCGCCCCCTTTTTTTCTGAGTATAGACTTTCTATAATAAATCTTCATTTATATGCTCGTTGCCCCCCCCCCCCCCCCCCCCCAACACACACACACACTTATTGTTGCCGTGAGGTCGAGCACTAGCAAATGCCAGGATTTGAAAAAAAGGGTACTAACAAGCAAATTCAAAGAATTGTGACCATCCACTTTCGGTGTCTTAGTGGATGGGATGCCGTTATTTATGGCATATTTTAACTGTCTTGTTTGTGTGTCCTGTCTTGTTTGTGCATCATACAAAAAAGACATAAATTATTGAATTTATAATCGTTATGGCAAAGATTATAGCTTCTCAAAATTACATCAAACTTCAAGATCAAGGTCATGAGGTCAAATATCATAACACAATCCGAAAGTCACAAGTAATGCGCATGTGAAAAAAATATCAAAAACCAGAGTATATAATCGGAAAGGTCTTGAAACAGGTATAATGCACATGTCAAATATAAATGTCATATCTTCTCTCCATCAAAAGTTATCAGCGATTTTAAAATTTTTGAAAATTATGTCAAACTTCAAGGTCATGGAGTTAAAAGTCATAGTACATTTATTTGGAAAGGTCTTGTCATAGGTAATGCACGTGTCAAAAATATGAATTCTCTATCTTCTCTCCTTCAAAAGTTAGCAACACTGATAAAATGTTTGAAAATTAATTAGGTCAAACTTGAAAGTCAAGGTCAAGGGGTCAAATATCATAGTTCATTCGGAAACTGCACTTGTCAAATATGAATGCCCTATCATATGTCATTCAAAAGTAAAATTTTTGAAAATTAGGTCAAACATGAAGGGTAAGGACATGGGGTCAAAAATTATAGCATGTTCGAAAACATCTTGTCGCACCTGTCAAATGTGAAAGCCCTATCTCTTCTCAATCAAAAGTTATAAGCAAAGATAAATTTTATTGAAAGTAGGTCAAACTTCAAGGTCAAGGTCATGGGGTAAAAAATCATAGTATATTTGGAGAGGTCTAGTCACAGGTACCTGTAAAATATGAAAGCCCTATCTTTTCTAATTCAAAAGTAATGACCAATTTAAAGTAATTTTAAAATTTTTGAAATGTAGGTCAAACTTCAAGGTCAGGTCACGGGGTCAAATTCAAAGTATATTTTGAAAGGTCCTATCACAGGTAATGTACATGTGAAATATGAAAGATCTCTCTCTTTTCATTCAAAAGTTATGACTAAGGTTAAAGTTTTTATGACAGACAGACTGACAGACGGATAGACTGACAGACAAATGAGATTTAATGTCCCCTTGCTTTCGCGAAAGCAGGGGACAATAAGATTTTCGAGTTTGGACGGTTAACGTTTTATTAAAAAATTTTTAGAATTTTTTTTATTTACTTGTCAGATTGTCAGGTTGGTCCCTCAAAACCGTTGCTACGGACCTATAAAAAAAGATACTGTGTGAAAATGGAGCACATGTTTGTTTTGTATTACATGTATATCTATTGTGAATTGTGGACTCTATGCGTTGCGGCTTGGTGCCCCCTACGATTATCTCTTGTGAAATTGCTATAGTTTTTTCTTTTCTTATATATAACGCTAAATATCTATGAATATTCTTTTTAAAACAATGTGCTATTATCTATACATGTAGTTGTGTATTTTTCCTATCGTTTTATCTTATTGAAGTGCACTTTAATACATATTTATTAATTTTGATATGATGCAAAATTCTCAAAATATATGTACACCTAGATATATCATATATCAATTTTTTCTATCTGATCCAGGGAGCTCCTGGCACCCCAGGTGATGATATATTTGTGAGGGCCTCTGATTAGGCATTACCTCTACCTTTTTGTTAAAGGGTTATTGTAATAAAAAAAAATATCTATTGTAAAGCATAAAGAGCTATAATTATAAAAAAAAATATT